GCTCTTCCTCAGAAACTGCTTGTTCAGTCTCAGGAAACTGAAATTGAGGCCTGATCTCGGAGAAAAGATTCTGCAGGCTGCTTGGCCCTTTCATTCCCTTCTTACCTTCCCTCATCCCTTACCAAACCTCGTCTTATTTAAAATATATATATTTATTTATGATTTGTGTGCATGGATGTGTGCCTGTGTGAGTTTGTGTGCGTATGTATCAGCAAGAACATGGAATGTCAGATGCCCTGAAACTAGAGCTACAGGTGATTGTGAGCCTCTGGAAGCAGGTGCTGGGAACTGAACCCCGGTCCTCTGCACAAGCAGTAAAAACTCTTAACTGCTGAGCCACCTCTCCCCTGAGCCCATGCCCACACCCCACCCCTCTGTATACCTTGAGACATGGCCTGTTACTGAACCTGGAGCCAGCCAGCAATTCCTATGGATCCTGTCTCCACCCCCAACACACTACCATGCTGGGTCCTGAGGCTCTGAATTCAGGTCCTGATACTCGGGAAGTAGTTCACCCAAGGCCAGCTGTCCAGCCCTTGTTTGTCTGCTTCTGTGTTGGTGGGCATTTGGGCTATGTACAGAGTAACTCTGAGCATGTGTTCCTACTTTGCCTTCCATAAGGTAGTGTGACCTGGCCCAGCCTCTTGCCTGTCCCTCCCAAGACGGTAACATCTCTTGCAAGGCACACAGATGGAGGCAGGAGGCAGTCATCTTAGAACAGAGGGGATGAGGAAGGAGAACACGGTGGAGATTAGGAAATTAAAAAGAATGTTTCCACCTTAAATGCCCTCCCCTGATAATGAGATTGATGACTGACTTATATGCCGTCCGACAGCCCTCATTCAGCAGCTGGTGGAAGTAGAGGCAACACTCACAACTTATCACTGAACTGAACTGGAATCCAGAAGAGCAAAGTGGTCTAGACCAGGCTAATGAAACCCACAGAAACAGCTGACCTGAACATTGGGGAGCTCTTGCTACCCAGACTGATAGCTGGGAAACGAGGATGGGACTGATCCAGACCCCAGGAACATGGGTTTCAGTGAGGAAACCTCGGAAATCTACAGGACCTCCTGTAGTAGTTCAGTACTTATCCCTAGCATAGGTGTGGACTTTGGGAGCCCATTCCACATAGAGGAATACTCCCTGAGCCAAGACACAAGGGGATGGGCCTAGGCCCTATCCCAAAGGATACGATAGACTCTGATGACACCCTATGGAAGGCCTCTCCATCCAGGGGGAGCAAAAAGGGTATGTGATAGGTAGGGTTTTAGTTGGGGAGGGGGTGGTAGGGGAGGACGGAAGGGAGAAGGGAACTGGGATTGTCATGTAAAACAATCTTGTTTCTCAAATAAAAAAAAATCTGGGAAAAAAAAAGAGAATGTTTCCTACAAAGGTGGCTTATTTGGGAGAGGAAAGCTCCAGTCAGGTCTGGCAGATGCTGCAGCTCACAGAGGGATGGCCATGGTCAGGGGCAGAGCCCACAGCCTTCCAGGCGCTGGCTTGAACCAAACAGAATGCAGGCCGGCCTTTGTTATGTCTTTCCCAGAATGCACTCTTTCTGGAACCAGAGGCTGGGGAGGGTGGACAGACCTCAGAGCATGAAATCACATTACTGGAAATGGTTGGGGTTTCGGTTGGGGCCTGGAGAGGGGTGGTGTAGCAACAAGGCTGGCCTGCCACAGTGGAGACAAGGCTCACTGTACCATAGGACCCCAGCACCAGGATGTGGGGAAGCTGGTTCCAGCCTTGTCAGATGCATCCAACAGACACGCTTTTAAAAAGCACTATGCCTGGACCCCAGACAACAGCTGTGGCAGAACCAGAAGAGTCAGGTCAGAGCTCACAGAATTGTGACCCCTGTGTCCATAGCTGCCTGGTTTTGTATGAGGCCATTTGGGACCCTTTGCTCTGTTGCTTCAGAGCTTCTATGGCTCACAATGACCCTTGAGATAGAAGCTTCCAGCTTCCCCACTCAGTGCCACAGGAATGATTCTGTTGACACTGGCTTGGACCTCGTCTCTTCCATGATCTTTGCACTCTTAGTGTCCAAAGAGCCATTGCTGTCCCCTCCCAGGGACTGGAGCCCCCACCACAGCTTTCCACATAGTCTCACTTTTCTCTCTCTCTTTGCAGGCCAGCATCGTGTATCCTGTTTGCTTCAGAGTGGCTGCCACTATGCTCCTTCTGACTCTTGAGATTTTCTGGTGTGTGTTGTGTGTGTGCATGCGCGCTCTCGAGTGTGCACATGAACACTCGCTCATGCACAAGTGTGTGCACACTTAATGCCTGGGGGATCTTCAGAAGGTGGGGTCTGCTTGGAGGAACTCAGACTGCAAAGTGGCAGCGTCAGATGCCTCTGAAACCTTGAGCCAAAACGGACCTTTCCACCCGGTGAGTCGTTTTCGCAGGTATTTGCCACAATGGTGGGAAAATAATGACAATGTATGGGGACGAGTCTATTCTAACATACGGTGTGTAGAATGGGGGCAGGGCCAGGTGCGGGGCACATGTGTGTCATCCTAGCAAGCAGGAGAAAGCAGGAGGATCAGGAGTTCAAAGACAGTTTGGTTTCAGGAAGCCCAGTCTCAGAAAACAACAAAACCAAAACCAAATGGGAAGGAAAACAGAATGAATTAGGTGGCTAGGTAAATTAGGTGGGGAAGGGAGACACGCCAAAAAGCTAAAAGCAACAATGACAACAAAGGGAAATGAAGCAGAGACAAGACCTGGGCTCCAGGTTTGCTTAGCTGTTCTGGAACAGCCCTCTGCCGCCATATTGAATGTCTGCTTCCAAACAAACGCCCAGAGAAAAAGCGGGTTTGTTGTCTCAGTGCCGGGATCTAGACTGTATTGCTGGGCTAGAATCCAGCAAACAGTTGCCATTGGTGTAATGGCAAAGGACAGAGGTGTGCGAATCTTCAGACATCTCCATGTGAGTTTCAGTGAAAAGGACTGGGAAATATATGAATATAACTCTGTGGAGAAGAGACCAGTAACCCATTTTACTCATGAAGAAACTGAGGTTCAGGAAAGAAGAAAACCTGCTTTGGGGCCAGGTATGTTATAGTTTATACTTTTAAACTCCACTCTGGAGTTTGAAGCAGGCGAATTGCCTCAAGTTCAAGGCCAGCCTGGGCAAAAAGCAGTATGCAGCTTGAGAGCCCTTGCCTTTAATCCCAGCACTCGGGAAGCAGAGGCAAGTGGACTGAGTTTGAGGCCACCCTGGTCTACAGAGTGAGTTCCAACATAGCCAGGGTTACACAGAGAAACCCTGTCTCAAAAACAAACAAAAGTCAGACATGCCTTGTGAGGAGGAGCAGGAGCCCCAGCTGGATCTAGCCCAAGATCTGTGTTCCTAACACTTTTTTTTTTTTTTTTGAGACAGGGTTTCTCTATGTAGTTTTGACTGACCTCGAATTCACAGAGATCTGCTTGCCTCTGCCTCCCAGCCCTAGCATCCTAACATTCTTTTTCTTTTTCTTTTTTTTTATTAGTTCAAATTAGGAACAAGCTTGTTTCACATGGCAAACCCTTCTCCCTCTCCCTATTTTTTCTTTTCTCTCTCTTTTTTTTATTAGCATTCTTTTTTTTTAATGGCATTTATTTTATGGGTATGAGTACTCTATCTGCATGTCTGCTTACATGCTAGGAGAGGGCATCAGATCCCACTATAGATGGTTGTGAGCCGCCGTGTGGTTGCTGGGAGTTAAGTCTGGGTCCTCTGGAAAAGCAGCCAGCTCTCCTAACCACTGAGCCATCCTCTCTCTAGCTCCCCTAACATCCCGTTAACACCTGGTATGCATCTTTCATTGTCTTGGCGACTGAACAGGGAGCATAAGCCTGGTGCCTTGGTGATGATAATACTTGGAGGACTAGAGATCTGTTGGGAGGAAGTACAAAGGAAACAATGAAGGGAACAGCAAAGGCTTCCTGGGGGACATGGTGACCTTGCTGGTGACTGTGTGGATTCTGGGTCCAAGCGCAGAAGTCTAGAAGAGTCATAGCCAACATGTCTAGGAGCTGAGCAAATGCAGGGAACAGCTATGCTGGAGCTGTAGGGTCCAGTGAGTCCCATTAGGCAGACCTCCGATGGCCAGATACCCAAAGCTTGGAACTGAGTGTCAGATTGCTAAGCCCTGCCTGTGGGGAAGATGCCACCAGCTGCATTGTGGGAAAGGCTGTGCACTGAACATTTGCTTGGCAACAACCACTGTTCCAGGTCCCAAGGACACAAGGGTACACAGGACTCAGTCCCTGGGAGCTCACTTTCCACCAGGGACCCAGACATCAAAGAGAAAATGTCATGGGGCTGGGCTAAGGTGTAATCCTGACCACCGAGAGGGTGGCTGGGGGCACAGACTCACTGTGTCCACCTCCCAAGGGTCATCAGTTGGTGGTAAGAAGGTGCTCAGGGTTGGTAGTCTCTGACTGGGCCTCCTGGGGGCGCTATGGGGCGGTTGTAAAGCCAGTATAAACACTGGTGGCAGATACAGCTTGGCTCTCATTCAGCAGTAAATGGTTGTCTAATCTTCGCCTTTGAAAGGGGTCTGTGGTCTGTATAAACTTTGAAATGGAATCAGGGTGGCACATGCAGACAATCAGGTCCCCCTACCCCGGGGGCCAGGCTGGGGACTTCAGGGACCCTGTCAAGTGCGTTGCAGACAGCAGTGACACCCTCCAACCAGATCAGTGAGGATGGCCGAGGGGGAGGGAAGGATGCACCTTGAGTGCACCCCACATCATCCCCAGCAGGGAGCACACCCACATCATCCCCAGGAAGGAGCACACCCCACGTCATCCCCAGCA